TGGTAGCCATCTTAGTTGGTCAAAAGCTCTGATAAACAAATTGAAACTAGCTAGGGCACACTGTGTATTCAAGTTGTAAAGTACGAAGTGTATTACATTTCATTCCGTAAGCTCCCCCGCCAAAAGAATTATTTTCCAATTTTTCCATGAAATCACAGTATATTAAAATTCAAAAATATGCCAAAAGTTACGGGTTTCGGTCAGCCATGTTCTAAGAAAACAACCGCAGTATGGCTGCAGAATAAAATAATGAGATTGAAGAACGGAATCACTACATTGAGGGTAAAAATTTGCAGATAATCAGCAAAATTTACCGCATGCAGTATTGAGTAACTTTCGAAAAAGAGACACTTCATTCTTTGGCAAATCTTATTGAATTTTGACGGTATGACGGACGGTTCTGAAGTACTGCCTTAGTAACTACTACAGTGGGGAGAGGGACAACAGAGAAGTCGGGTAGATTAAAACAGCACTCTTTCGAACTTATTCGGGCACTCTTAAGACCCTTATCTGTCAGAGGCAGCACTGCTTTCAACTTTAGTATTATGTTATTCTTAATTTCGGACAATCTTAATCCTTTTTTATATAGTCTGTTAAATTGTTTGATGAAATACCTTACATTCAGACAGATATTTCACCACTGGTTGAACTCCAAAACCCGCCACGAAATATTGTTATGCACAGTAACCCCTTAACTTTAAGGAACAAAAACCGGCCCGAACATGTAAGTTTTGTTTTCACAGCCGAATACTTATCCATCTGCAGATGCATCCCCGTCTCTAACTACTTATTCTAACCTGTATTTCATGTGTGTTATTACCTAGTTACCTTCTTGCTTGGAAAATATGTGCAAACCTATCGTTTCGTCAGACAAAAGGGAAGGTTCCGTTAGGTCGCCGTGCAATCCACTATTTCTCCGGAGATTCCGGCATGAACTCGGTCAGTTATCGAAACTGGCCTTTCCGATTGTACGTGCATGTTTCCTTATTGAATTCCTGTGAATTTTGGTTTAATTGATTGATCTACAAAAGAAACAGGCTTAAAGTTCTTGCCAGTTATCGTTGTCATTTAACAGACACGGTAAAAATATGTTCAGACCGTCGGTAAATGTCCAGTTGATACATTGCACAACACTCCCTTTTTTCTTCGTATGATACTTTGTCTGGTGATACTTTCCATTCTGACTCACTTGCAGGTGTACAAATCAGGAATTTTGCAACAGCAGAATCCCCTACTAGCCATTGAATCTGTAGTTCGTCATTTATACGCTTTATTTTGTACGCACTTATCGTATGACATTTATATAGAATTTAGTGATGCGGATGAAAAAAGTGAGCTGTTTTCTTTTATGAAGGTTCTTATGTGCTAGCAAACATTTTGGACCACAAAAGTATTAGGATCAGCGACAAAAAACCATTTAATTGCCTTTGCTGGGAATTGTGCCTCTAAAATGAGTTGACACCATCAAGGCTGGGAATGCGGAAAGTTAACAAATTAAAAATCGTAAAAAACATTTCTGCGGTTGGTAGTCGTCTGTCAACAATTAAGGCACAACTGGAGGTGCAAATGATTATAAATTTCCCCATATTGCTACTTAAATGGCATGCCTTAAGTCAACAAACATACCATTGAACGTAGTTAATAATATGCCAGCAGGAGGATGATAGAGAGACATGATGAAAGAATATGACTTATTTAACTTACATTTAACCTACAGATGTTGACTACTTTCGTCGACTATCTTACGGCTCCATTGAGTCTGGCGTTCTGTGGACATATGGGGAA